ATTTTTTATAGAATTTGGCAGTCTAGCCTGTAAGCCGTTTTTATTTCATTTTTATTTTTATTTTGTGGTACACTGCCCTTGGAATTGATGTGGCACAGCTTTTGTTGAGGCAGTGTCATTAATATGGCTCGATTCTTAATTCATTTGCTTGTTTGGTGGCGATAAGATGTGGTTCCACTGTGATATAACTTGCAATATAACAAAAGGGTATAGGGTAAGCAAGATTCTTTTAAGGGGTATAAGTGCAAGATCATTAGTATGGAATTATGGGTAAGCCTATAATCATAGGCCAAGAGAAGAGGATTGTAATGTCACAAAAACTTAATTTGTGAAATTATGGGATTGGTTAGCATATTCAAAAAGAACAAGAAGAGAATAGTCCCCTTGTTAAAAATCAGGCTGTTAGTGCAAATTGGTGAGGAGATATGAGCACCGCTATTCTCTGATGACTCCATTCAAATCCCTTCTTAAATTGGCTTGGATCATGATGTTTACAATCCAGGTCTATCTTAGAAGGATTTAAATGGAATCATCGGAGCATAACGGTGCCAATTTCCACCAACAGCCTGATATTTAGCCAGGGAGCATTTTTTATCTTGTTCTGTCTGGATGTGCCAATCAATCCCATGATTTCACAAATTTAGTTTTTGTGATGTTATCATTTCTCTTCTCTGTGATCCCTGCACCTACCACCTTCGTCTCACAGGTTTTTTATTTCATGACAACCCTTAAGACTTCTACTGATGCACCCTTAGGAGGCATACTTTGCCAGCTTAATATTAGACATTTTGTTCTTTGAAGTAATTTGTTTAGCACAGGTGAGAGATTTGTAAGCATATGCAGTTTTTGGATAAAACCCTTTCACTCCAAGAGTCAACATGTTGACATGGTTTTTAAGTTGTAAGTCTGTGGATGAAATCCTAATGTATGACCATTTAAATGAAAGCTACTGAACAGTACTTCCTGTGGTACTGTTTATTATGCTGTACAAGGTGGTTCTAACTTTTGAGTCTGTGGATGAAATCCTATGATGTGACCATTCATTTGAAAGCTACTAAGCGGTACTTTCAAATGGTGCTAGTTTTTTCCCCACTGTTTAAAAAATAGTTCTTAGGAATTTTTTTCTCAAGTTTTTATTTGGCACACTCTTGAAAGTGAAAGGGTTAATAATTTTGCGTTGAAATATTTGGTCCTGACACCAGCCAGTGTTTTCTGTAGGTGAATTGTTAAAATGTTTATCAATGCCCTGGCCAAGAGATGTCTTGTACAGCGATGTAGACCAGAAATAGCTGGGAAATTATTTAGTAGGAAAGAAACAATAATGGCTTAGAGCCCATTTATTATTAGCTGTTTTATATTATTTTAAGAAGTAATGCTGCAAACACTTGCATCTATTTGTTGCACCTATTTGTTGATATATTATAGTCCGGCTTACTTCAAAGTCTGGATTTTTGATAAGTATGAAGACGATTTAGACTCAAAACGACTTTCTTTTGCACATGTTTTATGATTGGCTAATAAATCTTGCTCCATTTTCTCAACCAATCAGGATTAGAATCAGAACCGATCAATTATTGGTGACACACGCGTTTTACCGCGCTTTTTCTCAGTTCTGATTGGTTCATTAAATTATTTGTCCGTGTTGTGATTGGCTCAATTAATTACAGTGGTTTTGGTTTTACAATATTTTGTTGAAGACAGCTGTACAATAAGAAGTAGCTTTAAAATTTAGAAAATATAGTGCTGAAACATTTAAGTGAGAGCATAAGTGGCTATTTAATTAGTAAAGGCTCGTTTTGCAAAAGTGCCCATTAGCTCTGATTTTAACTGAATGACAAGATCACGATTTCACCCATACTGTTCTGCAATGCAGAATATTATGGTTAAATGATATCGTAGTGAAGTTTATCAATTGTGCTTACTGTCGTTAGTGAATGGAAAATTTGTGCTTGATTACAAAGAGTATGAAGTATGCTCCAAGTCTTTGACATTGTGCTTTTTTT